TTAAAATGTTTTCTATATACCATTATATTGGCTGGACCACAAAAATATTTGTTGTAGGCTGCATGCTTCCTGCGGGCTACGGGTCTGACATGCTTGCTTTACAGTGTCTCATTATTATGAGTTATGAAGAAGTCCATGGACCATGCTCAGAGTGACCCTGAGACGTCCCTTCAGCGTCCCCTTTGCTTTGGGGAACGGAAGTACTCGCAAAACGAGGTGCAGGAGACACTCCTGCTTATGAGAGGGAAGTTACCCGTTACGGAGCCTGTCGTATAATAAAAAAATTCCTCTGGTCTTTGTGCCAGGTTCTTGACAAGGAGCTTGCAAAACCCTTAGTATTTCCTGAGAGACATGAGTGACTTTATTATGCTAATGAGGTGGCTCCTAGAGGGCACTTAGATGGTTTCAGGATGGGGCTGGTCACCACAAAGCCAGCCACAGGATCAGAGATAGGAACCAGGGCCACCCCCACCTCTGGGGATGGAAGCTGCAGACTAAGCTCAATCTCAAGGCCACTGATTTAACCAATTGTGCCTACGCAGGGAAACCCCAATAAAGCCTCTTCACACCAGTGGAACTTCCGGGAGCTGGGAGGGCGACGCATTCTGATTCCACGAGGAAAAGGCACGGGAGCCTGGGTTCTCCCCCAGACCTCGCCCCGTGTGTCTTTCATGTGTGTTTTACTAGAAGAAACAAATAAGTAGAGAGCTATCCTGAGTTCTGTGAGCCCTTGTCGCGTATGATCAAACCTCAGAGCATTGTGGGAAACATCAAATTAATAGTAAATTTGTCAAGACATACAGGTGGCCTGGGTCCCCCACAGTGTGGCTGGTCTGAAGTAAGGGCAGTCTTGTGGGGGCCCAAGCCCTCTAACTAGTGGGGCCTGCGCCAACTCTGGGTATGTTAGCAGCCGAATGTCACGTCATTGGTCTTGTACTGCAGTTCATAGGCCCAGATGGATTTCTACAGGAACGCGGGCTGTATGGGTGCCAGGCACTCACCGGGAAGCTGTACCTACTGTCATCAGAGGGGCACAGGGCCCTGCCTGCCACCTCCTAGAGTTGAGAAAAAAGTGTTCACAAATGTTGAGAATTCAAAATAAATACCTCAGCCTTCAGTTCTGCATCTGAACAAATCTACACCTCCTGGTGAGGCTGGAAATGACTTCAAGCTCCGTTCTTTCAAGTCATGATTCTTACTCACACCTCCCTACAAGTGGCCACAGTGAGCCTGTCGCTTCACAGCAACACCCTGACCTCAAAACGGAGCTGAAAACTCTGTGTGAACTGCCCTGCTTTTAGGCAACAAGAACCAGTTCGTGGGCAGAGGCCCGAGGTGCAGGCACTGAAACCCAAGGCTCGGACCCGTGGACACATTCCCGGCCTCATGGCTTGGCAGAGCGGCCATCGCCCAGGTGCCAAAGCCAGCCGCACGCTGCTGCCAGGACAGGGGCTGCCTCCGAGGCTTCTTTCCGCCTTGTAAATGGGTGTCTTAATTTTATTTTATTTTTTCAGTAATCATTAGAAAGCTTTTAGAAAGACTTCCCCCAGGGCAACAGAGATAATCTCGACTTGTGCCACTAACATGGTGGGTACAGGATCATTTCAGAACAAGGTTTCCTCGTCCGATAGCAAAAGTAGCCTCTGCGAAGTCCACTAGGGCCAAAGGCAGACACAGAGTCCAACCCTGTGAGTGACATGGGACGTTTCAGTCCCGATATCTTACACTCAAATGAGCTTCTAGTGATGGGCTAGGCTGTGGCTTCAGAGAGGTACAAACAGGATAGACCCTGAGGGGCTTTTACTGAGTGTGCTCTACCCCCAAAGGCAAGACATCTATCTGTGGAAAGGTTAACATTTTGGTTCTTTACTCTTCCTGTTTCTTAACCCGCTTGTGAAAATCCGCTGATTGAGAGAAAAAGAGAGAGAGAGCGAGAGAGAGCGAGAGAGAGCGAGAGAGAGCGAGAGAGAGCGAGAGCGAGAGAGAGCGAGAGAGAGTGAGCGAGAGCGAGCGAGAGAGAGAGAGAGAGAGAGGGGGGGGGGGAGACCCCAGCTCCCTCAACTATCTCAGACCCTTTTCCCAGAAGCCTCCCGGGCTGTGCTGGACGGGGCAGCGAAGTGGCCTTCCAGCTTCAACCTCTCTTTCCAGACAAGGGTTTAGGGGGGAAGAGAGGGTGCTTGCCCACATAACCTGACATTGGGGTGGGAGGTGCCCTGTGTACATGAAGGCCCCAAAGGTCCTTTCCTTCTTCTCACGGAGGATAAATGAATCTTATGTGGAATCTAAACAAAGCTGTGAATTTTCAAGATGCAGAATCAGAACTGCCTCAAAATCAGAATCATTCATTATCTTATCAATCAAATTACTCTCACTTTAAGGCTTCCAAAAATATCAATAATTTACTGAAAAAGTAATTTGCAAAAGGAGCATGTTTGTGTGTGAAGGGAAGAAAATAATTTAGTGTGACAAAAGTTGTTTTCTTATTTATTCCCACTTTAAAACTAGGATAATACAAAAGAGCAAATCATTCGTATTTTATAATATATCTTATACTATGCTTTGAAAATATACTGAAATGTTTGGAAAAATCCAAACATCAGTCACGTTGTGGAGAAAAGTTCCCCAGAGAACCTGGCAGTGAAAGAGCGTCGGATAATTTGTCAACGGCCAGGCAAAACGCACAAAACCCACGTGCCTGTCTTGAATTTTAGTTATCTCTATTTAGATGCAAATCCTGGGGGAAATTAACTCAAAGTTTTCAATGGGTTTCTTGGATTTTTAATTATCTACGTAAAGTTCATACAACAAAATCCAAGAAGACCCATCCGAGTTGCCCTGACCTTGAAGTCACTTTGCAGGGTAATGGGCAGAGATCCTGTGTGTAAGGAAACATGCCTGGAAGTTTGAGTTGAAGCAAGGCTCTGAGGAAGGTAAGCACCAACATCTATCCTCACTCAGAACCCAGGGCCCCAAAGCGGGAAGCCGGGAAGAGACAGAACGCATCAGAGGAGACCTCAGTGGCCATCCATGCCACTGCTTCCTTCTACATGTGAGGAAAGTAAGTCCCAGGAAGCGACAGAATATGTCTAATGACCTCCACGTTTCCTGTCCAAGGTTACATACATGTCCAGTCATCAAGAAACCAGATTCTCCCAGGACACATTATGGTCAGCCTTATATTTTCAGAGCCACAAACGTAGACTTGATTGAGGAAAAGGCCTCTTCCAAGAACCCCCAGGATCTTCCAAGTATGGCTGACCTACCTCTCTGTCTGCCTTCAGGGAAATGCTTTGGTTGAGATGCGAGCTCGGCTCTTTGGCTACAAGAACTAAAGACCAAAGCATAAGGCTGGTTAGAAGAGGGACGGAGAAGTCAGGAAGGAGAGGGGGGCTCCTGGGAGAGGGTAAGAGATCTAGACTGTCCTTGGAGTTAGACATAATGACAGAGTCTCCAAAAACTGGCACGCAGAAAATGTTGGTTAAACACTGAGTAAATATACCAGTTCGTCTTCCCCATGATGCAGTGCGACAGAGCCACCACACTGCCATCCACAAGAGCATCCAACAGCTCATGCTCCTGGTATTCTTCATAACCTTGCTTCCTCCAATCTCTAGTATTGTCAGAATAAAAGTGATGAATCCAGTTTAGAACACAGCCGTCACCCCATCAGAATTCTGAGCATAGAGATTCTGACGGCAGGAGGGAAATACACACAAAAGATTGGCCATGCACAGGCTGACAGACAGAGCAGTTTTTCAGAGCTGAAGATTGATGACATCAATTTTGAAGCTTTTCTGCCTTTGTCTTCGAGGTTATAAATGTTGGTTATTTTTTTTGCCTCTAAGCCTCATGTTTCAAACTGCATCGTGCTACAGTTATCACAGGCATCATTTTATACAACCCACACAAAATGAGTCACTTTATGATAAAGTAGCATTTTAGAATCTGTGGTCTGCTACAGGGTCTTATTTAATTCAATTGTTTGGTTAGATAAGAAAAAAAAAAACACAACTTCGATATATTCAAAATGAATAAATGCTTGAAAAATGAGTAACCCTAAATTTATATATTAGTTATTAAATGCATCAAGAAGTACAAAATCTATCAATAAGCATTAAACTGATTAGCTTGTCAAACTCATATCACTATGAAATATATCCATAAGCGTGTGAGTTATTGTAACAAGCTGGACCCCTGGACAGAGGTACCAAAAGGTGAGGCCAGGGCCAGTTCTCACCACTGACTCCCAAAGCCCAACTCTGCAGCTGGCACATAAACATTGTTTTGGATAAAAGGGTGGCCCCGCAGACAAGTGCCAAAATGGAACGGAACGAGCATTTTCTTTTTTTTTTCTTCTTTTTTTTAAATCAATCTTTATTGTTCATATTATTACAAAGGTTCCTCATTTCTTCCCCCCTCCACCAGGTTCCCCCCCCACCTTCCGCTCCCTCCCCCTCCCCCATTGTCCTCATCCATAGGTGCACAGTTTATGTTCAGTCTCTTCCTCCCTCCCTTTCCCCGATAGTAAATCCCTTTTCAGATAGTAAATCAGTTACTTAGCATTTCCTCATATCAATAATACTTCCACCTGCCCAAAGATACACTTCACACAAAAGACACTTCCAAATAGGTCAACCAACCTCATCCAGGCCCCGCACAAGGCACTCACTGATCAACACCCCAGCGCTATACTAACTCAACATATCCAGATCTAAGCCTTCATCAGTTGATTCAGCAGACCCTCAAGTTCCCGCAAAAGTTTCCAGCCATGTCTGAGAGGCAGCCGGAACGAGCATTTTCTAATCACCCCCCAAATAAATTCCATTTGAGTGAACCATAGAGCCTGTTTTGAAGGTTTAAATAGCTAGTCTGCTGCATATGTTGAAATCAAAGTTTTCACCCAAGTGGTCTTTTAAAGCTTCCTTCGCCTGGTGCCCTGTGACACGGGGAACATCCGTGAGAACAATCGAGCAGACGCAGATGTCACCCACACTCCTCACCTGCCATGTCGATGGCAAAAGGCCTGTCTGCTCTCCAGCCGGTGTACCACCCGACGACCTTGCCATTTTCCACCAACGGACGTTCATAGCGTCGCCCTCCAACCAGGCCCACTGGCCACACAGAGACCTTGCGGGTGGTTCGCATCTATAAAAAAGGGAAAGAGAGTTGGTTTAAGTTTCTTTAGGGAAAAGAACTTGGAGGGAGGGAAAGAAGGTGAGCCTAGCAGGAGAAATGTGAAGGGGTAGGAGGATGTGGATTCCCAGAAGTTGAACGCGTCCAGACAGAACCCTTCTGCTAAAGGATTGCTACCCAATTACTGTTTGCCTGCTCAGCACCAGCACTGTGTGCTCTGTCATAAACTAAGCCTCTGGCTCAGGCAGGATAGAGAGGACTAACGTGGATGTCCCTACCTGAACATCACTTATTGGTAGCCACGCTGTGACTATCAAATATTTCCCATTTGCTCCAAGTTGGATCTTTTAAACAAATGTATCATTGGAAGTGAGGAGCTTCAGTTCCTCTTTAGGAAACTTTATTACTCAGTTAACAGCAAACATTTGACTCAGAGGAGCCATAGGAGTTGCCTTTCTCTGAAATTTTTATTGCTACAGACACAGAAATCTTGGCTGGCGACATTAATAATGGGAACAAGATACAGAACAGACACCAGGCATCCTCCTGGGAGACAAAAGAAAAACATACGTAAATTTGCCTTACTTTCAACAGCACTGGGGCCAAATTATACAAGAAAAGGCAGCTGAAGTAGCTGGTCCTCTCCCAATACACCTTTGTACCTAGCGGAGTTCTGGTTAAAGACAACCCTCAATGGAAATTCTTTTGTTGGGAATTCTTTAAGGGGAGAAACACACTCACAAGAAAGCTCGATGATACTAGGCAGCATTTTTTTGGGGGGAAAAACACCACTATCTTCCTGGACAGGAGTTGAGCAGAGCCAGAGTCAGCCCACCTGGCACCTTAGGTAAATCAGAAAAAGGTGCTGCTTCTTAAACAGACACGTTCCAGACTGGGCCCATGGCTACAGGCCCAGCCATCAAAGTATCCGCTGGGTTCCACTCTTACCTGGGTGAGGTAGCACTATATTTTAAGATAACTATAATCTCAACACCAACACTTTACCTTTCATTTGCTATAGAACTGGGTCATGATCAGTAACCAATGACTAAAATAATGATGATCAATCAGGGATTTTTTTTTTATAAAAGAAAGAAAAATTATATATTTGGGAAATATTTTCAAATACAATTCAAACAAAAAGTCAAATTATTAAAGATTAAAAATAATTAGATGCTTCCATTTGCCAAACATCTCAACTTGACTCATTTATTGTATTAATATCCCACCGCATTCCAACGAGAGGACTTAAGGGCATGAAGTGCACCAAGTAATGAAGATCTTACTATGTTGGTCTTCTCCAAACCTGAAATTACTCCTTTTTAAGTTTAACCCCTTTCCAAAAAATTAATCACTGTTGCCTGTACTAGCTCATACTGACACATATGATGATTTTTTAAAAAGTTCTACTGAGGCATAATAATGGATACACTAACTCAGTGGTCGGCAAATTAGTCAACAGAGCCAAATATTGAAATTTCTTTTGAGAGTCAATTTTTTTAAACTTAACACTTCTTCTTCAAAATAGACTCATTCAGGCCATGGTGTTTTGTGGAAGAACCACACTCAAGGGGCCAAAAAGCCGCATGTGGCTCGTGAGTCGCAGTTTGCCAACCACGGCACTAACTGAAATGAAGAAAATACTACAAGGTATCAACAGTAAATGAAGCCAAGAATCAAATCAGTGATTTGGAAGATAAGGAAGCAAAAAACACTCAATTAGGTGAGCAAAAGGAAAAGAGAATCCAGAAGGGACTCTGGGACAACTTCAAGCATACCAACCTATGTAACATGGGGAAGAGAAAGCAAGAAATTGAAAATCAATTTGAACAAGAAATGACAGAAAATTCCCTAAGCTGGTGAAGGAAATAGACATAGTCCAGGAAGTGCAGAGAGTCCCAAACAAGATGGACCCAAAGAGGCCCACACCAAAACACATCATAATTAAAATGCCAACGGTTAAGACAAAGAGAATCTTAAAAGCAGAAAGAGAAAAGCAGTTACCTACAAGGGAACTCCCATAAGACTGTCAGCTGGTTTCTCAACTGAAACTGTGCAGGCCAAAAGAGAGTGGTAAGAAATATTCAAAATGATAAAAAGCAAGGGCCTACACCCAATATTACTCCACCCACCAAAGTTATAATTTAGATCAGCAGTCACTAACTAGTGGTCCACTGGAGGTCCGTGAGGTCCGAAAGGTTGGCGACCACTGATTTAAATGAAGCTCAGATTAAATAAAGAGCTTCACAGAGAAGAAAAAGCTAAAAGAGTACATCACCACCAAACCAGTATTACATGAAATGTTCAAAGATTTTCTTTAAGGGAAAAAAAAAAAAAACCACAGATAAAAATTTGAGCAATAAACTGACAATAAGTACATATCAATAACTGAATCTAAAAACATCCCCCCCAAAAAATGAATACAGAAACAGACTCATAGTTATAGAGAACATTTTGATGGTTTCCCGATGGGAAGGGAGATGAGTGAAAAAAGATGAAGGGTTTAAGAAGTACAAATTGGTTGTTACAGAATCGTCATGGAGATATGAAGTATAGCATAGGGAATATAGTCAATAATATTCTAATAACTATGTATGCTGTCAGATGCATGTAAGATTTCTTGGGATGATCACTTAGCAAATTATATAATGTCTAATCCCTGAAACTAATATTGTATGTCACTATAACAGAAAAACAACAAAACAAAAGATCTATCCAAGTATAATTGACTGCAGAAAAGCATGAACAGTCCTGACACTGTTCTCCTTAGAAAGGCCTGCACACAAGGCTGACCCTCGGCTGGCATCTGAAAACCTGGCTAACGTTTTTGCTTGCCTGGAGTACCACGCACCTGCTTTCCTTTGGGGATCTGAAATATTGATGACCAGACTCCAATAAAAACTCTGACCCTGGCATGGGTTTCCTGGGGCGTGAACACTATGTACGTGGTTATGTCTTTGCTGGAGGGAAGGCGTGCTCCCTGCGATCCTTCATGGGAGGGAATGGATGTGGAAGCCGCGCCTGGAGTCCTCCGGGCCCTTCTGATGCCTCCCCCACCCCACCCCTTCCCGCTATGCACCCTTACTGTGTCACTGTAATAAGTCTTAGCCACAAGTCCTCAAATAATGTCATTTTGTTCAACTTGGCTTGATTGTAACTTTGATGAGATTCTGTAGGAACTTGTCTCTTATTTATATTAACTACCCTATGGTAAAAAATGGTTTTGTTATACATAATTTTGCTGAGTCACAGAACCTATCAATGATGTTAAGTGAGAACTTACTGTACAACCAACTATATGCTGAGTGCTATGAGTCCTACTCAGTCATAATATGGGTGGTCTTGGGGGCTCCTGGAAGAATAAAATGCACTTTTTAAAAGGTAAAATTTAATACACTGGGACACATGTATGTAGCTATGAAACCATCATCATAAGGAAGATAAGCATCTCCGTCATCTCCTGTTTCTTTGTGCTCTTATTTTAATCCATCCCTTTCTTTTAATTTTTTTTTTTTATTTCAGAGAGAAAGAGACAGAAACATTAATGATGAGAGTCATGATCAGCTGCCTCCTTCACGCCCCATACTGGGGATTGAACCTGCAACCTTGGCATGCACCTGACTGGGAATCAAACCATGACCTCCTGGTTCATGGGTTGATGCTCAACCTCTGAGCAATACCTTCTAGGGCTAATCTCTATAACCATACATTAGTTTGCATTTCATAGAATTTTATATGAATGGAATCATACAGTGTATACTTTTTTTTTTCTTCTTTTTTTTTTCAGTGTATACTTTTTAAAGATTATAACTATATTGCTATTCATCCATGCTGTAATGGATGAATTCCATTTATATTCATAGTTTATAGTCCTATTCATAGTTCATTCCTTTATATTGCCAAATTATATTCTATTGTATGGATGTGCCACAGTTTGTTTTTTGTTTTTGATTTTTTAAATCCATTTGCTTATTGAGAGACACTTCAGTTGTATTAAGCTTTTGGCTATTATAGATGAAGTTGCTATAATACTGTGGATTTCATTTTTTCCCCTAATACACACCTAAAAGTAGAATGGCTGGATTACATGGTAGCTATACATTTAATTTTTTAATTTATTTATATATTTTATTGATTTTTTTACAGAGAGGAAGGGAGAGAGATAGAGAGCTAGAAACGTCGTTGAGAGAGAAACATTGACCAGTTGCCTCTTGTACACCCCCTACCAGGAATGTGCCCACAACCAATGTACATGCCCTTGACCGGAATCGAATCTGGGACCTTCCAATCTGCAGACCGATGCTCTACCACTAAGCCAAACCGGTTTCGGCTATACATTTAACTTTTTAATAAACTGTCAACTTATTTCCAAATGGTTGTACTATTTGACATTCCCACCAGCACTGTATTGAGACTTCCAGTTACTCCACATCCTTACCAACTCTTGGTGTGGTCAGTATTAATTTTAGCCATTCTAGTACGTTTTAGTAGTAGCTCACTGTGGTTTTAATTTGTATTTTTCTAATGATTAATGGTGTTTAGTGTCTTTTCATGTGCTTATATGCCATCTGCATCACTTCAATAAAATATTTGTTTAGCCGAAACCAGTTTGGCTCAGTGGATAGAGCGTCAGCCTGTGGACTGAAAGGACCCAGGTTTGATTCCGGTCAAGGGCATGTACCTTGGTTGCGGGCACCTTCCCAGTAAGGGATGTGCAGGAGGCAGCTGATCGATGTTTCTATCTCTCTATCCCTCTCTCTTCCTCTCTGAAAAAATAATAAAATATATTTAAAATATATATTTAAATATTTTGCCTATTTAAAAAATTATTTATTTCCTTACTGCGGAGTTTTGAGAGTTAAAAAAAAAATATATTGCATACCTGCACACAAATCCTCTCCAGATACCTGATTATAAGTATTTTCTCCCAGTCTGTGGCTTATCTTTTCAGTCTCATAATAGTGTATTTTGAAGAAAAGCAGCTTTTAATGTTGATGAACAACAACACATCA